AAACAGTATCAAGACTCACCTAATCAAAAGAAGAGAGCGAACAGAGTTCATGATAAGCCAGCAAAGCAACAGAATCCCTTGATAAAATGTGAAAAGAAGCTGTGTCCAAGACAGCTTCAGGACAACTTCAAGACAGATGCCACATATGACTTGCCTTGTTCTGGTAAAGACCCGTTTGTAGAATTTCCTGAGGGGCATTCTGTATCATGCAATGGACATTGCAAGTTCCTATTTTGATCCAGAATCTTTCTAAGTGTCAAAATTGACCAAAATGATTTATAAAAATCTTGGACCTTTGATCCAGCAAGTGTACTGTAGAAGTCCCACTATCTGAGAGATCTGTTGCCTATGAGTGGGTGTCTCCTCAAGTCATACCTTTCCCAGCTATTTGAAAGAAATGCAGAGAGGCAATGTTTCTAAAGAGATTTTCTGTACATAAGAGAAACTAGAAAGAAACACAAGTTTGCACTGAAAATGCAGTTAGAACTTTTTTTTTCCGTACTTCTTTTTTTTTCTTTTTTTTATTGGATATTTTATTTACATTTCATATGTTATCCCCTTACCACATCCCCCACCCACCCGGGAACCCCCCATCCCCTTACCCCTCCACCTTCTTCTCCGTGGATGTAACCCCCACCTACCCACCCCACTCCCACTTCCCCACCTTCAAAATTCCCACCCCCTGGGGCATCCAGCCTTCATGAGGTCAAGGATCTCATCTTCCACCTGTGCCCGGCAGGGCCCTCTACTCTTACATATTCAGCTGAAGCCCTGGATCCCTCCATAAGTGCTCCCAGGCTGGTGGTTAGCACCCTGGGAGCTGTGGTTGGTTGGTATTGTTGCTCTCCTCATGGTGCCACAAACCCTTTCAGCTCCTTCAGTCCTCACTCTAACTCCTCCATTGAGAACCTCATGATCAGTTCAATGGCTAGTTGTGAGCATCTGCCTCTGAATATGTCAGACTCTTGAAGGCCTCTGAGGAGACATCCATATCAGGCCCTTATCGGCATGTACTTCCTGACTTCCACATCAGCATCTACCTTTGGTGACTGCATATGGGGTGGATACTCAGGTGGAAAGGTCTTCAAATGGCCCCTCCTTCAGTTTCTGTCCCTCACTTTGTCTCCATATTTGCTCCCTTGAGTATTTTGTTGCTCCTTCTAAGAAGAACTGAATCACCCTCACTTGGTCTTCCTTTTTTATGAGCTTCATGTGGCCTGTGAGTTGCATCTTGGGCATTTCAAGGTTCTGTGCTAATATCCAATAATCAGTGAGTGAATACCATGTGTGTTCTTTTGTGATTGGCTCACTTCACTCAGGATGATAATTTCTAGTTCTATCCATTTACCTAGGAACCTCTCGAATTCATTGTTTTTAATAGGTGAGTAATACTCCATTGTGTAAATATACCACATTTTTTGAGTCCATTCCTCAGTTGAAGGACATCTGGGTTCTTTCCAGCTCCTGGCTATTATAAATAAGGCTGCTATGAACATAGTTGAGCATATGTCCTTGTTATATGTTCGAGCATCTTCTGGGTATATGCCTAGGAGTGGTATAGCTGGATCCTCAGGTAATGCTATGTCCAATTTTCTGAGGAACCGCCACACTGATTTCCAAAGTGGTTGCACCATCTTGCAGTCCCACCAACAATGGAGGAGTGTTCCTCTTTCTCCACACCCTCGCCAGCATCTACTATCACCTGAGTTCTTAATCTTAGCCATTCTGACTGGTGTGAGATGGAATCTCAGGGTTGTTTTGATTTGCATTTCCCTGATGACTAAGGACATTGAACATTTCTTTAGGTGCTTCTCGGCCATTCGAGTTTCTTCTGTTGAAAATTCTTTGTTAAGCTCTATACCCCATTTGTTAATAGGGTAATTTGGTTGTCTGGTGTCTACTTTCTTGAGTTCTTTGTATATATTGGATATTAGCCCTCTATCAGATGTAGGATTGGTAAAGATCTTTTCCCAATTTGTTGGTTGTCGTTTTGTCCTATTGACAGTGTCCTTTGCCTTACAGAAACTTTGCAATTTTATGAAGTCCCATTTGTCAATTCTTGATCTTAGAGCATATGCCATTGGTGTTCTGTTCAGGAACTTTTCCCCTGTGCCCAAGTGTTCGAGGGTCTTCCCCACCTTCTCTTCTATTAGTTTCAGTGTATCTGGTTTTATGTGGAGGTCCTTTATCTACTTAGACTTGAGCTTTGTACAAGGGGATAAGAATGGATCAATTTTCATTCTTCTACATGTTGTCCTCCAGTTGAACCAGCACCATTTGTTGAAAATGCTGTACTTTTTCCACTGGACAGTTTTAGCTCCTTTGTCAAAGATCAAGTGACCATAGGAGTGTGGGTTCATTTCTGGGTCTTCAATTCTATTCCATTGATCTTCCTGCCTGTCTCTGTACCAATACCAGGTAGTTTTTATCACTATTGCTCTGTAGTACAGCTTGAGGTCAGGAATGGTGATTCCTCCAGAGGTTCTTTTATTGTTGAGAATAGTTTTCGCTATCCTGGGTTTTTTGTTATTCCATATGAAGTGGAGAATTGCTTTTTCGATGTCTTTTTATATGGATTTACCGTTTCAATATTTGGAAACAAGTTTTAGTTGCCTGTGTTTTGTTGTCTTTCCCTTATTTTGTATGACCTGTGTTTTGTTTTATATTCTCATCAAGAGTTGTTTTGATTGCATCATCAACAAGTAGCCATGTCAATAGGAGTATTTCACCTCTTCATCTTAGTGATTGCAAAAAACTTACTTATTGAAAACTTTAAAATGAACTTAAAACCCCAGTTATCGGAGCTGAACCATGACATCAGGATGCAGGCATTTGCTCTTCTCTCTGTTTCTAACCACTGGAAGTCTAACTCTTCTAACTGGAGTTTTGTTAGTTTGTTTAGCACCTAGTCTTCAAAACAATACTCATTTTTACAGTGAACCCTTGAGCACTTCATCAGGACCATGCCCATCAGCCTGAGGAGTGATGGAGTCAGTGGGGAGCTGATGTTGTAATTTTGAGCTATGATATTTGCGGTCAAAAAATCTGTGAGTGCTGGAGCAGAGCACATGGAAGCCAGTAGCTGGCAGTTGCTCCAGGTCATGCCTTGACTATACTGCCTTAACCTGTTAAGTATTGTGCCATGATTATGCTCATGTGAAATACCTCTATATATTTTAGTTGTGAGTCTGTGGGGAAAAGCACATTCTTAGTTCTATATTGCATCTCTGTTTTGATCTGTGGAAGCTGATATGATATTATGTTTCAGTTTGCAGTGATACCAGAGTGGCATGTTTTTAACTAATATCTAGAAGCCCCTGGGATATAAAGTGAGAAAGAAGGCATTCTGCAATTTACCCAGTACAAGTAAATAAAGCATGTCATTGGGGAACCCTTGACGTAATGTACTTAGATCACACATAGGAATGTATTTTGTATTTTTCTCCTTCAGAATTCTTAAACCAACCACTGTTGCCAATGCCCAGTTTGCAGAAGGATTGCCTGTTGTTGAGGATAATCACCAGTGCTTTAAGGAGGCGATAAGATTTGGCTGCACCTTACCTCACTGAGAATCTTTCCTGGGGCGGAATGGGAGTGCATGTGTACACGTGCATCTGTCCTGTGTGATTTTAACAAGTTGTATCCACAAAGTATATTTCTTCTTATAAATAGTACTAGAGAAATCTTCTTTCTGTATATGCAGCCTATTTAACTGGGGTTCTACCTAACCCCACGGAACTTTAAAAAGAAGAGCTATTATTATGAGGAATTCACTTGGTATTACAACTTTGCTTTAGCTTTTAAATCACAGATTTTAAAGAAGAAATTATATTTATTAATGAAAGTGTAACTCTGGGCTATGCAAGAGACGTCACAGTGTTACACTGTGTTTGGAATCTTCTATGCAACTACTTAATGAATCCTTCTATGACCTTTGCTTTTTAGTGCCTTATATGATTGTGTTTGGAAGCCCTCACTGTTCTTGTCTGAAATACAGCTGCTTTGCCTGGGTCTTCTTGGAGAGAGAGAGAGAGAGAGAGAGAGAGAGAGGGAGGGAGGGGGGGGGGGAGGGAGAGAGAGAGAGAGAGAGAGAGAGAGAGAGAGAGAGAGAGAGAGAGAGAGATTGAGAGAGAAACTGTTTCCTAGGAGACTGTTGGCCAGATTACCTAACATATTTCGTGAAGTTCTAGGCCAAAGAGAGACCCAGTCTCAGACAAAATGTGGAAGGCCCCTGAGGAAGGGCACCTCGGTTTTTCTCCTAAGTTTTAAATAATACAAATATATGCATACTCTTCCCAAAATAATAGAGATTGGAAAAATCTACTGGATCTAATAAGATCTAATTGTTTGTACAGCCCAGGAAATAGAAGGGGGAAGGGACAAACCATAATCAGCAGTACCTGAAGCCAGGAGTGATTGCCAAAGTAACGTCCTAGAAATCAAGTCCTGGAGAATCCAGCAGTTACTTCTGTACAGCCTTCCAGTGCAGGTTGCTTTGTCAGTGGCAGCAATATTTTCATCCTTTCCTAAAGTATTTATCAAAGTATGTTTCATGACTAGGAAGTCCTACAGTCCACACCAGAGAGCAGGTCAGGCATGCAGAGAGAAAGAAATGGTGATTGGTGAAAGAACAAGAGGAGAGGAAGAATGGAGAATGGGCAGCACAGCTGGGTCCCGTTTAATGTGGCAGAACAGGTACCAGATGGACTTCTCTGCTTTCAGTGAAGAATCCTGTGAAAATTCTCAGCAGGTAGATTACTACTTGATGATTGCCCTGTAGGTTTTCTAAGAGAATGAAAGCCCCATGAAAGACTTTATTTCACAAGGACTAAAGAAAGGACACTTTATGTGCACTGTGGGACAACTGCTGAGATATTTCAAATCTCTCTGAGTGAATTCCTGAGAGAAACCTGCTCTGTGTGAGACTGTAGCTCTTTACAGATAGGATTGCCCTATGCTTTCTCAAACCTGGGCTATGGCTTTGTTTTGTTTTCCTACAGATGGACCAGCAACGCTTCACCTATAAGTTCTCCCCAGAAGTGGAGTTCCAGACAGTGAGGTCACTCATCCTAGGCAAAGTCACAGGTTGGTTTTTCTCTTGTATATACTTCATAGATGTTGTTAAACTTCATGAAGTTGTTTGCTCTATTGATGTTTTCAGTGATTCATATCTGAAGACACTGCTCCCATGTATTCTTTATACAGTCTTTGAAATGGAATATACTAAGACACATATGTGGCAATTGTACAGAATGTCATTCATGTCAGCTTTATTAATTGGTTAATTGTTCGTTGTTTGTGATAACTATTATGCTGGTTATTTGTTAATAACCTAGAGGAAAAGGGAATCAAGTAATAATGTAAAATATCATTTTCATTTAAATTTTAAAATTATTAACTTTTTAACATAGTCAACGTTCTACTTGTATTTCCTTAGTTTTAACCTAAGAGAATGAAGTATGCTGCAGAATGAGGACTCAAAGCTCACATTAGAATGACATATTCTCCTTTTCTATTCATATAGGTTTTGTGAATTTACATTTTCTGTTAGAGAATATGTATTGCCTCTACATTACTCAACTTTTTATACTTTCCTAAAGAATTTCATATCATATATGATACCTGATCTTTAAGAATGCATCTTAGAGCTTAATTATATTTTAGCTACAACTAATATAGACAAACAAACATTTGCTTTGGTTACTGTTTCTGTCTTACCTTTGCTCATCCTTTCCTTTCAAGATTTTTTTTTCTAAAGTCTCATGTATGATCCTGTGTAGCACACACAGTTGAGTTTTATATTAAGTCTTTCTCATGTGTACATGTGTATAATGTTTAGTGTGTGTGCACATTCACATGTATGCCTGCAGACAAGTGTTTGCCACAGGATGCTTTTGGATATCATCAAGCTCAAACACTGGTTGTTCTACCTTGTGTGAGGCAGGATCTCCTAATTTGTGCTTTGTATATGAGTGGAGAAGATTCTGGCTCATGAGCATCCAGTGATTATGTCTTCTCTTCCCATCAGACTTAGGAGCTTTGGGATTACAAATACCTATACTACTAAGTCTGGCTTGATGTGGGTTCTGGGTATCCAAAATCAGATCTTCAAGTAGCCATCTCTGTGGCTCCAGTTCTTTATTGGCTATTCCGCCTGGGAATCCCTGTTTTACATATTGGCAAGTGAAGGAGTTTTTCAGATTTTGAAATTATTTGTACCTTTGAATTCCTGCCTGCCCCTTATTTCCTGCTTATTCAGCTCTTTTGTGACATTCTCTTTTTCTCTGGTTCTGCTAGTCACAGTATAGTGTCGAAAACACTGGCAATTTGGGGTATATTAATTAGGAATGGACTCAACACAAGAAATCACTGTCCTATAAAACTTTTGCAGCACTTAACTCTGAGTCTTGATATTTCTTTTTGGAATGATTTCTCAGAAAGTCTGAGAGTCTTTATCGAGAATGTGGTATGCTCTTGGTTACCTGCTCCAAGGGTCTAGAAGCTGGACTGTGTCATGTACAAAATGTAGATTTGCAAGACAGAGGATGTGTTCATTGAAAGTTGTTGCAGAGAATGAGTTGTCCTAACAGTGTAACAGCTTAGATAGGACAAGAAATGATCCGCAGTTTCTCCAGTCTTCTAGATTCATAAAGAATTTAGCATGTTCAGAACATAATGTGAATGTAAAATAAGTGTTGAAATGTCAGTTTCCCAAGTGACAGACTGATTAAATGAACAACAACAACATCAAAAGATTTAAAGATGGGATTATTTTTCACCCCACACCCTGTGTAGTGATAATACTTGTAATAGTAAAAATTATTTTTCTAAAGCTGTTTATTCAGGTTCACTAATGAGGCCCTATTGAGTTTTTAATTCCTGTTCTCTGTATCTTTGATACTTCTCCTTTGCACAACATGCGAGTTTCGCCTTTCTGAACCAAACCTATTTATTTATTTATTTATTTATTCATTTATTTATTTACATTCTACCTATTGCACTTCTTTCCAGTCCCCCCTTCCACAGTTCCTCATCCTATTCCTCCTTTCCCTTGCCTCTAAGAGGGTGATTCCTACAAATCTCCAGGGCTTTCCATTCCCTGAGGCCTCAAGTTTCTTGAGGATTAAGCACATCTTCTCCCACTGAGGCCAGACCAGGCAGTCCTCTGCTATATGTGTCCAGTGCTTCGGAGCAGCCCATGCATACTTCCTGGTTCGTCAATGATCAAATGTCTGTAAATGTCATAGTTTATTTCTGGGTTTTCAATTCTATTGCACTGATCAACCTGTCTGTACTATGTGGTTCTTCTTCTTCTTCTTATTTTTTCCTATAGCTTTAGGTCAGAAACAGTGATACACCCAGAAGTTCTTCTATTGTGAGGAATTGTTTTAACTATCTTGTTTTTTTTTTTTTCCATATGAAGTTGAGAATTGCTTTTTCGATGTCTGTGAAAAATTTTGTTGGAATTTTGATGGGGATTGCACTGAATCTGTAGATTGCTTTTGGTAAGATAGCCATTTTCGCTATATTAATCCTACCAATCCACGAGGATAAGAGATCTTTGCATCTTCTGAGGCCTTCTTGGCTTTCTTTCTTCCAGGGTTTGAACTTCTTGTTATACAGATCTTTCACTTGCTTGGTTAGAGTTACACAAAGATATTTAATACTATCTGTGGCTACTGTCTAGGGTGTTGTTTCCCTAATTCTTTCTCAGCCTGTTTATCATTTGTATAAAGGAAGGGTACTGAATTGTTTGAATTAATTTTATATTCCAACACTTTGCTGTTGTTATTTATCAGCTATAAGATTTCTCTGGTGGAACGTTGAGGGTTGCTTATGTATAATAGCATATCATCTGCAAATAGTGAAACTTTGATTTTTTTACATTTCTAAATTGTTCCCATTGATCTAATTATTCTAGTTTTCATTGTCTAATTATTCTAGCTAGCTCTTCATATACTATATTGAATAGATAGGAAGAAAGTGGGCAACCTTGTCCTGTCCCTGATTTTGGTGGAATTGCTTCTAGTATCTCTCAATTTAATTTGATATTGGCTGTTGGTTTTCCATATATTGATTTAAATATGTTTAGGCATATGCTATGTATTCCTGATCTCTCCAAGCCTTTTAATATGAAGGAGTGCTTTATTTCACTGAAGGGTTTTTCAGCATCTAATGAGATGATCATGTTTCCTTGAGTTTCTTCCTATAGAATATTATGTTGATGTGTCTAAGTGTATTTTTCCATCCTTGCATTCCTGGATGAAGCACACTTGAGTGTGCTAATGATGGTTTCTATGTGTTCTTAGATTTGCTGTACGACAATTACATTGAGTATTTTTACATCGATATCCATAAGCAAATTTGGCTTGAAGTTCTCTTTCTGTGATCTTTATGTAGTTTAGGTATAAGAATAACTGTAGTTCATAGAATGAATTGGATAATGTTCCTTCAGTTTCTATTTTGTGGAATAGTTTGAAGTGTATTGGAATTAGGTCTAATTTGATTATCTAACAGAATTCTGCACTAAAACCATCTGGCCCCAAGTTTGTCTGTTTGTTTGTTTGTTTGTTTGCTTTGGTAGTGAGTTTTTAAATAAATATTTCTATTTTCTTAGATGTTATGGGACTATTTTAATAATTACCTGGTTTTGACTTAACTTTGTTACATGGTATCTGTCTAGAAATCATCCATTTCATCTACATTTTCTAGTTTGATTGATTAGCCTTTTATTATAGGTTATGATGATTTTTTTTAATTTCTTCAGTTTTTGTTGTGTCTCCCTTTTATTTATGATTTTGCTAATTTGGTTTCTGCCTCTGTGCCTTTTAGTTAGGTTGACTAAGTCTTTATCTATCTTGTTGACTTTCTCAAAGAATCAGCTATTGATTTTGTTGATTCTCTGTATAGTTCTGTATTTTTTTTTCTAACTGGTTGACATCAGTCCTGTGTTTGACTATTTCCTACACTCTATACGTCTTGGATGTGTTTGCTCCTTTCTATTCAAGACCTTTCAATTGTGCTGTTAAAGTTGCTTTTATACAGTGCCTCCAGTATCTTTTTGAAGGCACTCAACACCATGAATTTTGCTCTTAACATTGCTTTCATTATGTCCCATAAGTTTCGGTATGCTATACCTTCATTTTCATTGAAATCTAGAAAGTTTTTAATTTCTTCATTTCTTCATTTCTTCCCTGACTAAGATTGTTGCTCAGTTTCTATGAGTACATGGGCTTTCTGTTTTGTTTGTTTGTTTTGTTGTTGTTGTTGTTGTTATTGATGTCCAGCCTTAAACAGTACTGATTTGATAGAATCCCTGAGATTATTCCAATCTTCTTATACCTGTTGAGTCTTATACTGTGTCTGATTATATGGTCAGTTTTGGAGAAGGTTCCATTAGGTACTGACAAGGAGGTATATTCTCTTGTTTTGGGGTGAAATGCTCTGGAGATATATGTTAAATCCATTGGGTTCATAACTTCTGTTAATTTCACTGTGCCTTTGTTTAGTTTCTGTTTCAATGACCAGTCCATTGGAGAGTATGGCATTGAAATCTCCCACTATGAAAGTTTAAGATTCAATGTGTGTTTTGAGCTTTAGTAAAGTTTCTTCTGTGAATATAGGTGCCCTCATATTTGGTCATTGATGTTAAGAATTGAGACTTCGTCTTGATGGTTATTTCTTTTGATCACTATGAAATGTCATCTGCTTTCTCTTCACTCAGGGTCACATTAAAGGTTAGCATGATTTGTCCCTTACTCCTCGTTGCATTAGAAAATTTTCTTTCTGCTGTGGTTTTCCTTAAAGGTTATCCTGAAAGTCCAGTCCATCTTCCATTTGCAAGGTTTTCAGGTTTGATATTCTCAGTCTTCTTTAAAATCATCTAGTTGTTCCTCTTACCTCTTCACCTCCACCCTAAACTTTAAAACTACCCCATGACTTACTCCCTATGTCTAATTTCCTTCTCTCAAAAATATGTGTATCAAGCTCAACAAGACACTAAATGTTTGTTGTTTTAACACAGGAAAACTGTATTTTAATGTTTCTAGTTCATTAATAGTACTGTTCTATTAGTATTGTCTATTTTTCTCAAAGGATTTTTAGTCATTGAATACTCATTTTAATGGATGTTGTAGAAGTTTAAGGAGAAATTTATTAAAGTTTTCTTACCATCAGTGTCAGATTTGGTGTGTGTGTGTGTGTGTGTGTGTGTGTGTGTGTATTTACAAATGTTCTATACACATGCTTCTAGGCCAGTTGTTCCCTTCCATTGGATTAAGACTCTCACAGAGATCACATGTCAGATAAACTAGTACATGTGCTATGGAAAGAAGCCTCATGGTTCTCCTTACTTGGAAAAAAAAAAACACCACGTATATAGGAAAATAATGGGAACAGAGTATGACACTGGTATATTTTAGTGGCAGATTTTAGATCCTCATGATGAATGCTTGTAAGAAGTAATTTTATCTGTTAAACTTGCCATTGATTTTTCCTTCTCCAGGTCAGGACATCTAAATAGTCCTTCCCTTCACTACTTTGGAATCTAGTTCAATGATAAACTAACCACTGAAATAAATATATTACAAAATATACCATGTCATTAATACAGAGCCCAGTGGATTGTGAAATATTTGGCCAAATAGTTGAGTTTTCCTTGGTTTTTGATATTATTTTATATATCTAATATAAAGTCCTTTCAAAACAGCTCCTGGAGATCTGATGTCATCTCTTGGTATCTTGTAGGCACTGCCCTGATCTGCACATACAAACAGACATATTCACACAATTAAAAATAAAAATAACAACTTTTAAATGTAAATAAACATTACTGTGTACAGTGGCTACTCAATTACTAATAAATTTGAAAAATTTGTGTCCTGTCACTTCTGAGGACATATTTATTATTTACTACTTACAAGTTTATAATATGCTGAGAGATAAACACATTTTAAGTTTTCTTTTGTGGTTTTTGTTTTATTTGTTTTTCTTTGGTTTTGTTTTACCATTTCATTTTTGTAAGTATCAGATAAATAACTACGTGTGCTCTCAAACAGAGTATTTATTTAATTATTTAATTTTAAGTTACTATTATTGGTTTGTGTGTGTGTGTGTGTGTATGTGTGTGTGTGCAGGCACATTCATGAGTGTGAGAAAATACATTTAGTTCTCTTTTCTCATTGTTGGGTTTTTGAACAGAAATTGCATCATCATACAAGATAAGCATTTTTAATTCACTGAATCCTATCATTAACCTTTTTATGTTTACATAACAATTCTTCTTGTTATTCCTTTTCTGAAACCTCTTCTTGTCTGTAGGCTTAATATATGTGTAGAATAAATACTTGCCCAGAAATGACTGTTTCAAACAACCTTCCTTTAAAGAAGCAATGCCACTTTTTAGCATTTCACCCAGTTTGTCTTTATGCCTATTTGTACAACAAAGAGCTTTGATTTGTAACAACCTCCATGGTGGTACCCTCCTTGGATCAGTGAAGTGTTATTTCCAGTGAGCTGTGAGAATGAGAATTAGCACCTTTGATTTAGACCCTGAAGGCATAGTTCACTGAATCATCACTTCCCACTGCTTTGAAAGTCCAGGTACACTTTCCTTTGCTTGACCCTTGTTTCATTTTTGTTTCTGAGATATAATTCTGCCTTTCATTCAATAATAATTAGTGGCCAACTCCACCATCCATTTCCTACCAATCAGTGGCTACATATTTGACTTTGCATTATTTTCCTGGGTGAACCATCTCTTTAATCCACATTCTTTTGAATTATTTTGATGAAAACTTTGTAGCCACAAAAGTAATTAAGTTTAAAATCAGGAGGTAATGGAGAAAAGAGTATGTTAAATGGAATTTCAACAATATTGCTTATCATGAAGAGAGACAAAAAGGCTAGGACATGAAGTGAAAGCAATAGGAGGTGGACATGGACTTTCCCCAAAAAGGATCCATAACCTGGACATATTGACTCCTTGATTTTAAGCCAAAGAGTGCTGCCAACACTCATCGAAAGATACGTATTATCTATGAAAGATAATGTATTTGTTATTTAACTTATAAACTTGAGAAATACATTATACTGGCCACATGAAATTACATGTACTGTTATTAGTTTTGCATGTAAGAAAACACAAGTGACAACCTGGGTTTTTACATGTATAGTGGAGGAAAAAAGCAATATGGGAACAAAAATTAGTAAGGATTGAAAGATGTCTACATGATGAACAGCATTTGCTGCTCTTCCAGAGGAACTTAGTTTGATTCCCAGTAGCCATAAAGATAAGTTTTACTTCAAGTAAAACCTTATTTCCTCCACAGGCATCCACACACAAACAATGGTATATTCAGGTGCATAAACACACACACACACACACACACACGCACACACACACACATGCACACACACGCATGCACAGGAGAGAGAGAGAGAGAGAGAGAGAGAGAGAGAGAGAGAGAGAGAGAGA